GGACTGATCCCCGTTAAACTCATTTCATCACTGGTCCAATACTTAAGAAAAATAAAAGTGTTCTAGCACTGATCAACAACAATTCACTTTTCTTTATCTGGTTTAACAATTCTAAATATTTCATGAGAATCGATAAGTTCCAACCACGAATCAGCTAAATGTTAAGTTGTCATGACTCAATCTAACTACTCCAGTTATTTAAATATCACATATACTACTGTTGTTTGGCAGATTTGAAGCATTTATGTCGAGATTGTGCAAATTTCAGTAGCCTCGGTGGGATTCGAACCGACACATGGACCCCGCCTCCGCCTTTGTACAGCGCACACTTTACCAGCTGAGCCACGAGGCCACAAAGTTCAGTAGCCCCACATATTCAGCTCCGATTATTTCTTGCAGTTCGTCACAACAAACAATAGGAGAACTGTGATAGGGTACTTTTGGTTATTGACATCGGTACCGTTATTTTTTGTTCTTTTTGTCTGTATGTGTCCCACCACAGGAATTCAATCGACCGGATCAAGACTCGGGAATCGGTCGAACTACCGATGAAAGTGCGAGAACAGAAGAGAGTTCGGAACAAGTAAGCCCCAAATTGTCCGTCAGCTGAATACCTTCACTCCATGGCTCTCTATAGTGTTTCAGTAGAGCTTCGATTTAAACTAAAGGTGCAAGCAACGACATTTTGAAACAATACTCACCCCTTGGAAATTATGAACAAGGTCTGTTTCACCATGTGAATGCGGCGTGAGCTGTCACAAATCATGGCGCCTTTATAGACCGATTGCCGATGAATCGAATGACACAGGGTGATACTAAAAGGGAAATCTAAAATGTACTATTCCTGTAACCAAAAGCCTCAAATGTAACAAAAACGATGAACATTCAGTGCTGTTATTCAGCAGCTGGGATGTAGCTACTGTGGGTAGTACTTTTGAGGCTTTTCAGTGATGAATGGTAGGTTGATTCTACCTGGAGAATACACTTTGATAAACACATAATGGGGGATTTGATTCAATTTCCTAATGAAATTAGTTATGTATAGAGCGAATAAAGCGTGAACTGAAAAGCTAGGAAGTACTGGACAGCTGTTTGGACCTGGTTATGTCCCATCAGCATTATGAATCGATCGACCCAACTGGGGGTCGAACTTGGGACCTCGTAGATAAAACGCAAGTATACTATCCACTCGACAACCAAACAGCTCATTGGGGCGTTTCTTATTTTGAATATTTATACGATCTACCTATATTCTGTCAAACAACTGAAATTGACTAAATACACATTAAAATGTTTGTAAAACTACTTCCGCCTGTGCTTCCCATTTCGAAACAATTCGTCCTCGTGAAAATGGGACTTACCCCCATTATTATTCAGTAAACGAAGATTCATAGTAAAAGGCCGATTTACTGAGTACTGTTAGCCGGACAAGAGTAAAAACAAGATTCATCAATGGGAAATTCCGTAGTCCACATTATATGTGTCCTGGTGGAAGAAAATGTGTAGCACTGAACCCGGGTCCTAGAAAATAAATATACAAGTTTTGGATAAAAACAGCAGCGAAGTTTGCATTGTGCGCATACACACACATACGCACACACAGAAAGAGCTAACATTTTGCTTAAAAATTAGACGAAAAAAAACAAAACTAATAGACATAAAACAGGGCAAATATGAAAACATGTTTACAGCGATTCATTCTTATTGCCTGTGGAGCCTTTAACATGATCTTTGTTCCATTGACCTCGAATCAGAACTATGCTTTCTTTCATTTTGACGAACGGTATTGGTGGCATGCTACCAGTCAAGTAGATGATGAAAGTCAAACAATGCAATTTATCATCAGACCGTCTCAGTTGTCATGTTTTCACCTTCCACTCGGTGTTCTATAGAGACAGTCAGATACTGCAAGTGGAATTGGGCGCGCCCGAGAGCTTATCCAGGTTGCGGACAGGATAACACCACTTGGGTGGTTATTCGTGAATAAGTGATCAGTTATACATTTAAACAAGCGATCACAAGGGCTTGGAGATCATTTTTTAGGACTCGGTGTTTATTTTGCCTGCCAAGCAAATTCTCTGGAGCATATGAGCACACCTGTCCGTTAAAATGCATCGAATCGGGCGATTGAGTGGTACAGTCATCCACAACGCCTATAATGACGCGTTTCTCAAATTTTACATCTCTCCAGTCTCAAGTTTCTTTACTCGAAAAAAATTCCCCACCGTACGCACATTCACGTCTCCTCAGCCCTCCAACATTCTACCGTCACCTTCGTAACACACTCTCTCTTTCGGGTTCTTCAGACGATCGTGCTAACAGTAGTGCCTCAAATGGAGACTCTGCCACTGTTCTCTTGTGTTCTACGTCGACTACTGTCCGATTTTCACCAAATCTTCCACCAGCTGAAGCCACCCTCCGTTCTCGATGCCCATTCAAACTTACCACATTCAATGTGCGCACTCTCATGCGTATAGAAAAACAGGTTTGTTTAGCTCGCACGCGCGAGACCCTAGCCATCGATGTGTGTTGTATCCAAGATATTCGCATTCAAGACACCAGCTCCATTATCCAATTGACTTCTCCCATCAAACCCTTCAGTGAAGTTTCACTTAAGCCTCTCTGGGTATCCTGAGGCTGCAGCTTCCGGTCTTTCTGGCGTTGGAGTGGCTCTCACTGAGAGAGCTAAAGCCGCGCTCCTGAACTGGATCCCAGTCGACAGAAGGTTGTGCGCAGTGAGACTTCGAGGTTCGTACAAAGTAGGCAGCTGTCGCCCCGATACACGAAACCTGTTTGTGGTGTCGGTGTACACCCCAAACGGACTGCAGCGACCCAGATGCAGTCAAAGATGAATTTTACCATAATCTAAACGACCTCTTGCGTAAAGCGAGTCCTGCTGATATCGTGATTTTACCAAGAGATATATGCATCTTGACGCGTGAATTTGATTGTCACTAAGTCAGGTTATCAGCATCGCCCTGTTGCCTGTCGCCTGTTTAGCACTTGGCTGTGCATCCTCGAGGGAAAATGTTGAGTCTTACTGGTTACGTCAATGTGAAACATGCTCAAAAATTACTGATCGATGAATGAATCCACAAAGCCCGTGTGTAGAAGAGAATTGCCTAGAGCAAAATTGTAACTTCCCTTACCACGGTACCAATTTCTTGCCCGGTTGTGGTTATTGGTAGATAATGACCGGTTTCCGTGTCTTTCGGAAAAATAATTTGACCATCAATTAAATAATTGATATTTAGTAAAATGACTTGCCAAATTCAAAACGAATTACGCGTGAACGAGAAATGCCGCTCTTGCAATCGCATTATGCAACAAGGTCTACTGATCACCAGGCCAAGTCTGTCATCGTTGAACCATTTATTTTTAATGAATCCGTCTGTCATTAAAAATGTACGAATGTGATTTCTTTTATTACGCACTATTGTGCGGCGAACGGTAGACGGGAAAATCCCCATTGTCCCAGGGACCTATTGCTTACTGATCGGAACCGGCAATCTAAGCCCCGAATTCTCTTAGTGTAGTGAATCGTGCAATAAGTGTTGATTTCAACTAGGCAAAAGCAAAGTTTAGTAGTAGTGGTATGGTTTGCAGGTTGAACCCACGAAACTGTGACAATGAAAACGACTTTATCTGTTTAAGCAATGGAATCAATAACCTCGTGAATGCTAAAACAGAAATGCAAATAACAGAGATGCACGGAGTACCACTCTGTGGCCACTAAAACGCTAGGGTTGGCAAATGCTTTATGTCCAATATATCCTATTATCAACGTACGTTCAGACTAGTATCCACTCTTCTCCACCCTCACCTCACCTCACCCCACCCCACCCCACTCCCCCTCCCCCTATTACACAAATACAATAAACCATGCATGACGCAGATGAAAAAAGTATCAACTGAATTAAATATATACGTCATATGCAACGTCTTCATATAGTTTTTATTCTCGCTAGACCGCACACAAGATTTGTTCCAAGTTTGAAGCGGTCTAGTTTATATTCATGCTAAATTGACATACCCGAGTTGGGTGATGGTCGCCGGGTCAGGGGAGGAAACGAGAGGAGCAAGTCAGTGAGTGTGAGAAAAGCATGTGCTCGGAATATATGCACGCAAAGGATCACCTTGGCAACTTGTGTGTACATAATATCATGAATCCACTTTGATTAGACTGTAGATTAGTGAATTATACACCATTAGATCAGGGTTGCATAATTTGCCCATTACCTGTAACGCAATCAGTTTGAGAATGGGAAGGATTCTCAGACTTGCTAAAATTCACCCACACTATTCCTATGGGTAGTTAGTTATTGTTGGCTATATGCAACAAATCACAAAGAAAACAAATGAACTAGGTCCTACTTTGATCAAGCACGAATTAAATATTCCCAATGAGCATATATTTGCAACCGGCATGGGAGATATACTTTATAAATGGAAGTTTCTTATACGTGTATCCGGAAGTCGATCACTGTCAGGGAATTTCGGAAAGTTTAACAAACGCGACAACTATGAGCGTTGATTATTTCAGGTAGTGCTAGCGTGTACCTGAGACTCAGTCCACTTAATCCGAGAGGTTACCGTGACAGTTTACCAAATCGTCGACCGTGTGTGTATTCGAACCCCCGTGAATTCTGTCCGCATGAACCACTTACTACTCATTCTTAACAAGTTGAATGAATCAGCTGTAAACAGGGTTTTCAATGTATTCTTCTGTTTGTGATAAAATGAGACGCAGATAATACATGATGTTATCATACTGGTTAGAGAAATCAATGCTCCCGAACCATCCCAAATACACTTAACTTAACTAAACAGTCACCAGTTGTTGTATTAATCCTCAATGGGCTAAAGGTACCAGAACGGTTGTGCTTACATCACCTTAAGGCAGACGATTTATTGAACACTATTCTCATTTTCCAAAGTACCAATCACCTCCAATCTGGATTTACATTCACTGTTTCGCCGCCTACATTGTTTTCTCCTACACAGGAACTCGATATGGACCATAAATCTCGTCTGACCGGCACCAGCAGCACAGACACCAATGTCTCCTACTGGCCTTCCATTCATCCACCCTCTAGCAGTATTCAACCTCCAACAGAGTTAAGTCAAGCATTTCTCACCTCCCCAATCCCACTCTGTGATGTATTTGCCAATTACAATCCCGTGGATCCGATTGATCAGGAATTAGTGCATTTGGGTCGTTTGATGCAATCCCTGGCCGTGCACTGTCGACAACTGGTTCAAACGAAACTGGCCTGTCGTACTCCACCACGTGGCGGAGACACGCCAACCGGACCACCAGCATCCACACGAGCCCGAACAGTAACAGACACTCCCACAGGCCCGTCCGACTCCACCACAATCCCGGTGTCCTCTACCATGTGCACTAACACAACATCCTCATCCTCATCCTCGTCTAATTCGTCCGCATCGTCATCCAATGTGCGACAGACAGGTGGTGAGAGCACGCCAGCAACTCCAAGGGTTCCACGAATGGGCACCCGAATGGAACCCGGAGTGATGACCTATTCCAACACGAATGAAATACCGATTCCGGCCGCAGGGAATCGTTTGAATCCACCGAGCTCAAGGACCAATGCCGATCGAACACAGACAAATGGAGTTGGTCTGAGTAAAAGAAATGGTAATTACTATGCTGACATTGATAGTTCAATTGATTATCGATTATAATAGGGATGTCACGAATGATTTAAAAGAGCAAGTACTAATAGCTTTACCGGTGATTTACACATTTCAAATCGATACTAAGATTTACTTTCAAACCTAAAGCACCCCGGGATGGGATTTGACCAACTGGTACAGAGCATTAACAGAAAGTACACTTTATCACCATTTCAAATGTGATTTTATTTATCAAACTAGATTGCCCGAGAGATTGTGAGAAATTATCCACTTGTGCAAAATGGAGGAGAGTTGGTTTCATTTGAACTCATGCACGAACTGATAGAACGGTTTACACTGTCGTATACGTTGAACAGACAAGTATTCAAACCCCACCGAGGTTCCTGATAGTATCATCCTGGACATGCAAGGGTATCCCCGATTTCAAGTTTGAAATTATTTAGATGGGACAGCAAAGAAACTAACCGATTGCGAATTAGCGCAACTCTTCAAATAGTAACGTTGTATAACACATTTATGGGTTCGTTTTTGGTCTGTGAACACTTTTTGTCAAGCATTAGTTTGTTTGTTTTCTTATTCGGATGAAATAATCATTCGCTGAGGGCGTGTGTGTGTGGGGGGGCGGTTCCGGAGTTTCTCTTTGTTTCAACTCACGACAGTTTTTTTAAGTTCAATTCTTGACCCAAGAGCATGAAGAAACATCAACTGGCAAACAAGAAGGCTCATAGACTAAGAAGTGTTTTTCTGGTTAAGTTCCAACTCATACGACTGATACACTGATGGTATAACAACCGATATAAGTTGCTATTCCAACTGCTCCACAAATGATGTCAGAGAAATTGATCTGGGTCGATACCAGTGCGATGCAACTTATGTTATCGGTACGATTTCTCGATTCCCGGTTAATCACTTTCAGGTTACCGATTCCGGTGCGCATCATTTTGCAGCCGCCTTCAAAAAGGATCCGGTAACTGAAATGGCCAAAAACGGGACCCGAATCCGTAATTTCCATTTTGTTTTGCACAGGGCAAGTAGAAAATAAACGAAGACTGCCTAGATTTGGGTACCCTTGTGTCATTCACCGGTAGTCTTCGCTGCATTGCAACCAGTTCTGCGTTGCGTAAAATGCTGCATCGGATCAAACTGGTTTTGCGTTCAGTGCAACCAACCCGAAGATGCAGAATGAAGTAAAATGATGAGCATCACCTAGATGATCTGAATGCAAAGCAGTGTCCACATCTACAATGATTGGACTCATAGAGACTGCTGGTAAGTGGTGAAATGCAACAGGTCGTCCAAGTTCCCTGACGTCCTGATTTACTGACAAGCGAATTGTGTACAAATTGTTGCACAAATGATCTTGAACAAACACACCAAGGACACAGTGGACTCTGTCTTAAGACGGATAAATCAAAGTCAAAGTCAAAGTTTTATTATTATTTACTTATTACTTACAAGCTCATGCTTCTCTTCTCCCCATAAGATGTTTACACAGTTAAATCGTTTCAGGGCGAACTGACTGGTTGCGGTGACAGTCCCTTTTGTCTCACCGCATCGATCAGGGCGATTTCGAACACATTTATTCACAGGGTAAAATTTGAACTGAGAATTCGTATTTGCATAGACTTTTCCGTGGAAAAATGTTCGCATTTTGGTCAAAAAGTACATCTCATCTCACTGAAATGAAGGAAATAATGCTCAACATAACATTCAACCTTCAAACTTCGCTGAGAAAATCCGTAGCAATGAGCGGCCAATTAATGAGGATTCTAGCGAGACAACGAATTTCGGTAGAACTTTCGTAGAAATCAATGCAGAACGGTATGAAACGAACGTGCACAGATGTGAAAGTGTCATTTGGATTGATCACTATGCCATGGGAGTGAGTGGGACAAGGAAGGATTTTCTGTCCAAATTTTGTACATGAGAACAAGTGTAATTCACACAATTTTGTATAAGGACCTCTATTCTCACCAACATGAATAGAAGGATGACCATTTTACAAATAATTAAGTGGACGGACAAAATATACGTCCTGTAGACCTTACCCAAAAAATACTGTTTAAGTAGCCCAGTGGCGATGTAGGGAGCTCATATATGAGTGCTCAAGACTGGTGATGGTTAACAAAGATCAGATAACTGCCATGCAGTGGTCGATGAAATAGCTTGACATTCCTAGACGGGTTTTTTTTCTTGATATTCACTCGAGGTGTTGGTGGTTGTGGTGGTGGTGTTGGTGATGGTGGTGGCGGTGGTGGTGACAGCAGGAGGGGAACGAACATCATGAAACACCGTTACAGATGACACTGGATGAGAACACAAATTTGCAAACAAGCTCGTTTTCGGTACTACATCAACTGGCCAAATACAGCAGCAGTGAGAAGTGATAGATATTTGCGAACGAAGTCATAATTTAGAAAGATGATGGAATTGTGACAATTGATATTTGTGATTGTGCATGTCTGTGTGTAAACGTGGAGGTGGAATATATGGGTGAGAGTAACGGAGCTTACGTCACCAGCTTATTAATGGATGGTCATGATAAGACCAGCGTTCTTACAAACTGCTTCTGGGCAAACGAGGGGGGTGTTTGGGGGGGGGGGGGCAGG